GAGAGAGAGAGAGAGAGAGAGAGAGAGAGAGAGAGAGAGAGGAGGAGGAGGAGGAGGAGGAGGAGAGAGAGAGAGAGGGAGAGTGAGCGTGGGGAGGAGGTGGGGCGGGGGGGGAGGCACGGGGAAGGAGGAGGAGGAGGAGGAGCAGCAGCAGCAGCAGGATGGCTTACGTGAACATCTAGCACCACCAGCATCGCCACCACCGTCACCGCCACCGCCATGTTAAACCTCCAGGCCATGGTTTGGGTGTGGTCGCAAAAACGTTTTCGACTGTCGGGATTTATTTTGAAATTCTTCGTCAACAATTAGTGAGTTCATTGCAACATTTCAAAATTTGTACCACGCTGCTTTGATACGTGATAGTCATCTCCTGCTCCGTTCTCATTATTTTCTCCACTCCCGTAAGCTCCCTCCTTTCTCCTCCCTCCCTCCCTCTCCCTTCCTCGCTGTGTGACCTCATTCAGGATCCACCTCTTCCTCCTCGTCATGGACTGTAGAACTTCGAGCATGTTGACGTCACGTCGGAGCTCGATGAGATGCATCAGCTCAGCAGAAAGAGGAATGATCATTGTGAACAACTCAGCGGAAGAAGCAGGAGGCAGACCCCCAGCAGAGCAAGACCAGTCGATCACCAACATGGATGGCCCAACATGGATGGCAGAGCAGCACATCGCTACGGCTGTGAACCTGACCAGTTCGACACAACCTTTCAATACAAGAGATGCTAACGCGAGCTAAACATTCACTCCAGATGATGTCAGCTTGCGGACAGCGGCGTCATCGGGGTCAACAGACGAGAGAAAGTTCGACGTCCTCGGGTGCTCAGGGTCGGCCCTGGCACGTGAGAAGGACCAGAGTCCCGAGTTGAGCGCTCGCATCGATTCATCCTGCATCTTCTGAGCCTCCATGCGAGCAACCTGGACAAGTGTCAGGGAGGAGAAGGACTTAGGTACTGACAAGGCATACCGCTGCCTTGTGGCTGGAAAGCTGAGCACTGTAAGCCGAGTTCAATGCATCATTCCATACCGAGCGCGCCCTGTTGGCCACGTCATGAATTTCGTTCATCTTCTTCCCAGCTTCCAAGTGTTCCTCTTTGGAAGTAATACACAAATCAATGAGGGTCAACAAAAAGAAACAAAATCAAATGAGAAGAAAAAATGTGCACGAAGAGACATAGTATGGCACTTACTTGCAGCGGGGTGGTAGGGAGGCAACTGATACTTCATCTGGGGCTTGTTGACAAGCTGGGATCCCTTCTTGCCTGCATCAACACATCATGCATTGCTTTGAACAAGTCGTGGAACACAACACCTTGCTTGTAGTAGTCGTAGTCGTAGGGCTGATATCCCCATCCGAGCATGGACTCGAGGTAGCGGATGTCGTAGGACTGCTCTGCAACGGTGTTCTCGAGGGAAGAGACCTTCTCCTTCAAGTCATTGTATCCCTTCTCGCCGACAGACTCTCCGCAGTTGTCCTCGTCGAAGACAATGCCAGCCTTTCCGCTGAGGGTGCCCTGCCACATCCTCCATGCAGAGTAGGCATCAGGGTAGAGAGACTGGTAACCGTCCATCACAGTCTCCCAGCAGCAGCCAAAATAGTCAGAGGCCTGCCACATCGCCTGCTTGCAAGGGGAGGCAACATCGTTGAGCTCGTGAATGTTTCCGCACCACTTCTGGATGTACTGAGAGAAGGCAGGGAGGTTGACGACCGACTTGCACCTGCCGTAAACAGGATGCATGGAGATGTAGGCATCCTCGGGATCAGCAGCAGGAGCGGCGGCGGCAGCCTCCTCGCTCTCGCCCTCGGCTTCAGGCGACGCCTCCTCGACATCAACCACGGTAGGAGCGTTGCCAGAGATGGCAGCGGTAGCAAGTCTCATCTGCATCATGGCAGACGGCTTGTTCGCTTCGGAAACGGTGTGGACGAGGAGGGCAAGGAGGGCGGTGGCGCAAAGAAACATGAGCGCGGCCGCGCGCTTGCTCATGGGTACAGCCATGGTTTGCGAAGAGGCAGATTCGCTTCGAAGGGGTACCCTATTTAGCACCACACTAGGGGTGGTTTCATGTATGGGGGTAGGGGTAGAAAAATGTCAAAATCTCGGGTAGGTAGTCTGAAAGGCAATGCAGCATTCCGAAGGTCATTGTTTGCTATAAAGTACCGGTCATGGTCGGATAGAAGTTGATGTGAGGGAGGTAGGGGTTATCAAAGTTGAATTGACATAATAGGGGTGGGGTTATTGGGTAGGGGAACCTCCCGGAGGCTCATCCTTTACTCAACATACCCCTTACTGAGAGTACCGGGCCAGCGGGCCGGGCCGGCGAGTCACTGAGTGAGGAGTGAGGGCCAGGCCGCGCCCCGGATCGCCGCCGACAATTAGGTCTTTCTCAAAGTTAACTGATAAAAATCAGTACGAGGACAATCAGGAGAGTCGAGGAGGCTTGACCCTGACACTGTCGCACAGGCCCAACCTTCGGAACCGAACCCAATTACGGAAGTTAGAGTTAAGTTTCAATCATCAGAGTCAGTTTGGGGGACGGACAGCAGTTGGCAGGATTAGGTTTGGTTCTCGCTGTCTTTTCTCTTCTCGCCGTTTGGCCAATCCAATGATCGGACCGGGCCGGAAAGGGACACCGGGGCGGGAGTAGACGCCGGGCCGCGCGTCCGGCGATCCGATCGGTACGCGGCCGCATGCCACGGTGACGACCGTGACGGTCGCCGGACAAGCCTGAACTTCGGAAGTTCAACGGCCCGCCGGGCCGAAGCCAAGCGGCGGCAGCTCAGTGCCCCCGCTGACGAGCCGCGGGGCCAGTGCGGCCCGGCCCAGCGCTCCGGCCGCGGGCACCCCGGCAGGCAGCCTGGCCGGGCCCGGGCTCACTTTCGGGCCGGCGACAACTCAGTGACTGGCTCACATGCGGAAGTTGGAAGTTTGACATGCTTCCGAAAATGGCGGTTGGGGGTCCGAGGGTCATTGAGGGGGTACTGCTGAAGGGAGGGAAGACTCGTGTATCGGTGGGGTAGTCAACACGGAAATCACTTCAGTACCCGTACATATGACTGATATATTTGGGGTAATGATTTCACAGGGAGGAGTGGGGATAACCTTACTCAAAGTTCAGGGGTGGGGTGGTCATGGTGACTTGTTGCCCTTGCAAATTCTGGGTAGGGTAGACGGCCAGGGGGCGGCAGCACAATAGGTCTACGGGGTGGGGTAGTGTCAAGGGGTGGGTAGTCGTGTGGTACTTGTGTGGATAGGAAATTAGGGGTACTAGAAGACAACAGGTAGGACGACGATTGCTAAGTGGGGTGGGTGGGTTGGTAGGGTGGTCAATTGAATGATGGCAGAAGAGCTTGACGACTTCATGCTGGTAAGGAATGGCAGAAACGAAGTGAAGCGACGATGCCGTGGGAGGAGAGGAGAGGAGATAACAAGATAGCCTGGGACAGCACAGGACCAGAGCCAAAGATGACAGATGATTGACGAACATAACAAGGGAAGCTTCCAATAGGCATACTGGAGACCAAAGGCAGGAGGGTTGGAGCAGGCAGGCAGGGCACTTGAATGAGTACGTGGGAAGTTGCATTAAGGTATATAATGTCTCGAAGATATAGAATGAGGCATTTCATGTGAAAGGAAGCGGTAGGTAAGGATCATGAAAAGGAAAGCCTTCCAATGTTTGTCGTGTAGTTTCTCAAGTATCATAGGAAAACAGGGTAGATTGTGACGAGTCAGATGAATAAGCAGAAAGGGAAGAGTCGCTTAGATGCGAAGCAAAACAGTGCTTGTCTCTGAGTTCCGTCGTATGAGATATTGCGCTCCTGATGCATAGATGTTTGAAGCAGGAGAGGAATTTAAAGCGATGTGTGGTAGTGATACAGATTGTGGTCAGATTATACTCATTGTGGTGTTTACCAGGCACTCAAGCTCCAGGAGGAGGAGAAGGTGAGCTTTCTATGCAAATCTCGTGCTGAGGCATTGATTTGAGCTCCAGAGGATCTTTCAACGGGAGTTGCAATCCGGTGTCTCACGTGGCAGAGAGGAGGCGGTGGAGAGGGCCAAGGAGTACATCCGGCAGATTGACAGCTCAACGGGAGGGATGCGGGAAGGCAAGGAGAGGGGAGACGACATCAACCCGAGGGGCCAGAGGAACGAGGTCGAGGAGGACAGCGATCCCATCGTTGCGCGGCAGATGCTGGAGGAGGAGCGGCTCAGGCGGGAGTGGCTGGGGAGGGTGAACCGTAGTCCCCAGATCTCACCGGAGGTGATACGAAGGGCCCAAGAGATCCAGGAAGGAAGGAAGAACAGGAAGGCGGCGGAAAAAGATGTGAGAGGACGTTGTCTTTCGCGCCTACAGTCACATGATTAGCGTGCTAACTGTCACGGGCTGTCGCAGGGAATGGGGAGGAAAGTGAAGGACGTCAGAGCGATCGAGCGCAGAAATCGGGAGATTCCTCTTGCTAACAGCTCTCTGCGTGCGGGGAATGTGGACATGCCCCCAGCTAGCGATGGGTTCTGGCAGCAGCAGGCTGCGTTCGATCTGCAGGAAGATGATCGAAGGAGGGAGCAGCAGGCGGTTTTGTATCAACAGCAGCTGCAGCTAGAGCGAGAGATCGAGCGCGAGAAGGAGCAGCGCAGACTGAAGGAGAAGGAGCAAGTGATGACATGCTGATGACTCTTGGAGATTGTTTGCTGATGATTGCTGTAGCAGGAGGCCAAGGAGCGGGAGCGTGAGAGGGAGAGGGAGAGGGAGAGGGAGAAGGAGAGGGAGAGGGAGAGGGAGTGTGAGAGGGAGAGGGAGCGTGAGAGGGAGAAGGAAAGAGAACGCAAGGCACGAGAGATTTATGGTGAACCTTTCCTTGTTGTACGTCTTGTTTCTCATTCTTTCTGCAACGCGACAGCCGCCCGAGAAGCCGAGAAGAGGCGTGAAGGCGGGCAGAGGATGGAGCCTCGGAGGGGGGAGATGGAGAGAAAGCCGAAGCAGGTCTATGCCGTGGTGAGCTCTCTGTGCTCAACCTTGACCGCTCCTCCAGCCCTCTCACTCTCCCGCGCGGCTCTTAGCGGAGGCAAGGGACGACGATTTCGAATGGGAGGTAGACGTCAAGGACCTCACCCTCGGGAAGCTGCTGGGGTCTGGCTCCTTCGGCGACGTGTACAAGGGGATGTGGCTCGGGGCGGAGGTTGCGGTGAAGAGGCTTAGGTTCGCGAGGGGTTTGACGGCAACAGACCTTAAGGAGTTCAGGGCAGAGGTCGACATCATGGCCAGGATGCGGCACGTTAACGTGGTCCAGTTCGTCGGGGCGTGCACGGTCCCTCCCAACCTCTCGATCCTTACGGAGTTCCTCCCCAAGGGCTCTCTGTACGACGTACTTAGGAGGGAGCGGCTGACTTGGCCGCTCAAGGTGAAGATAATGCACCAGGCAGCGGCGGGGCTCCTCTACCTCCACAACCGCAAACCCCCCATCGTGCATCGCGATCTCAAGTCAGACAACTTCCTGGTGGCCTCCGACTACACCGTCAAGGTCTGCGACTTCGGGCTCGCGAGGTTCAAGAGCGCCGCTGGGCACGTGGCTACTTCCCACAACCGATCGGGAACCCCCGGCTGGATGGCGCCGGAGGTTCTGAGAGGGGAGAAGTTCAACGAGTGCTGCGACATCTACAGCTTCGCCATCGTCATGTGGGAGCTACTCACTGGCGAGTGTCCCTGGGGAGACATGGAGCCTGCCCAGCTGACCTCCGTAGTCGGCTTCCAAGGCCGGAGACTCCCCGTCCCTTCCCGTCCTCCTCCCGGCTGCCCGGAGGACTACCTCCTCCTCATGACCGACTGCTGGCAGCAGTCGCCGAGCAGGAGGCCGAAGATGAGGGAGGTGCAAGCGAGGCTGCTGGAGATGGAGAAGAGGACTGGGGGCAGGTAGCTGCGATCTGGAGCCTAGTTAAGCACTTCCTTCATGTACAAGTCAAGTTCTAAGGTGTCTGCTGGACCTCTCCCGGGCGTTTCACATCTTCTGCTGGGCTGGGACGTCGGTCTCGTGCATCTCCCGCACTTCTTGTGCCCTGCAAGCGAGTCAGCGAGTGAGGAGGAGGAGAGGAGGAGGACAGAGAGCAGGGAGCGCAGCACAGGACGACGGAAGCGATCTCCATGAGGTCCAGAGGGGAGGCTCTCGGCATCCCCAAAATCTCCTGCATTCTCCTCCTCTGCAGGAAGCGGAAACAGGGGAAGCAGAAGCTGCGGTAGAGGGTGAGCAGCACTTGACACAGGGAGGAGGAGGAAAGTCACAGGGGCAAGAGGGCGTAGCGCACGAGGTCCTCGGAAAAGTCCGTCTTGTCATCCAAGGAGAGGCAGAGCTGCGCGAAGAGAGCGGAGGAGGAGGAGGAGGAGGAGAGAAAGTGATAGAGAGGAATATGTGAAGGAAGCGAAGCGAAGGGAATCAGACATGTCAGTAGCAGACAGGAGACGGGTAGAAGAGAGCAAGTGGAGGAGACGGGGGAGGGAGGGGAGGAAGTGAAAGTTTCAGAAACCTCCGATGCCATGCAGGGCATGCAGCACAATGTGCTTGCTATCGTAGAGCTTCGTTTCCAGTCCAGGAGCGGAGAGCTCCATCCAAGACGGGAGGACACAGCCGCTTCCTCCTGCGCCATCAAGTCATACCACCTCCTCGAGTACAACTCATGGTCCTCACTCCTCCTCCTCCTCCTCCTCCTCCTCCTCCTCCTCCTCCTCCCGCTGCTGCTGCCTCTTTCGCTTCCTTCCGCGTGTGACCTGGTTGACGTAAGAGGAATGAATGCTCGCTGCTCCTCCACCTGTTGCCTCCCTCCCGCCCGAGCTGGAGGATGCGACCCCATTCGTTGATGCTTTAGAGTCTTCCAGCTCGGAGGCTCTGACGGATTTCTCAGCTCCTCCTTGCTGGGAGTCCAGCTGGGGTCGTCCTGACACCCGGAAGAGACGATCCAGCCATGCTTCGTGCTTGAGGGTCTCGGGTAGGCTGAGAAGAAGGAGGCCCGCGAACTCCTGCTGGGGCCAGTCAGGAGAGAGGAGGAGGGGAGGAA